CAATTCGACGTAAGTTCGATTGTCTTCGTCAATGCACCTTTCATACTTAACCATGTATCTAGCGTATCATGGGCTACATCGAATCCGGCAAGCAAGACGGTGCGACAGTGCACCTCGGTGGTTCACCTCACGGCTCAGAAGGCTACTTCATCTCCCCGACCATCTTCACCAACACGAAGCCCAACATGAAGATCGTGCGGGAAGAGATCTTCGGCCCCGTCGGCGTCGTCATCAAGTTCTCAACCGAGGAAGAGGTCATCGAGCAGGCGAACGACACTCATTACGGCCTCGCGGCTGCTGTGTTCTCGAAGCACATCGACCGCGCACTCAAAATCGCGCACAAGCTCAACGCGGGGACGTGCTGGGTGAACTGTGCGAACACTCTTGACACCCAGATTCCGTTCGGTGGGTACAAGCAATCTGGTATTGGACGTGAGCTCGGAGAGTACGCGTTGACGAAGTGAGTCTCATGGTCGCAAGTCCTCCTTTTCATTTTCTAATTGCCTTCTTCAGCTACACGAACGTCAAGGCCGTGCACATCAACCTCGGAATGGAAATTTAATTTCGACCTCGTGTATCACGATGAAAATTCGGACGTTTGTAAATCTTTAATACTTCAAAACAAAACAAGTCCAGCACAGCTACAATCTATGTATATTACGAGGAAAATGAAAGTCGAATTACATCAAACGGTCAAGAAACTACCGAGCAACTCATACTTGTCGGTTCGGCAAGCCATACAGTTTCCACAACAAAACAGAGAAATAGTAAGATGAACTCGCGTCTTTGGAGACGAACATGACGCGTCGTACGAATTTCGAGAAAGCAAGAGCTATATAGGAGAGCAAAAATGCATCTCCGGAGCGCGGATCGAAAGCGCAGAGCGTTCCATCCCTTCCAGTCGCCAAATGAGGCAATTCCTGATCGTCGATTCCGACCCCCGACAAGTCGCGTCGCGTCTTTCTCTTCTCTCTCTCTCTGTTGCTGCTACGTCATTTGAGGCCTATTCTTAGATCCCTCCCTCTCTCCGCATATATAATGCGCGCTCGTTCTCGCCGCCGGTCTCGTCTCTTTATCTCTTACCGCCATCATCCCCGCCCACCATGTCGGGCAGGGCACCTCACTTCCACGGCATGACGGGGGAACAACAGATCGCGCACACTGCCAACGTCGCTCGACCTCTGCCACCGCACGGTGCCACTGCTGCCCCTGCGCGCGACGACGAACCTCCCATTCAGCCCCTCGACGATCAGCTTTCCGATGAGGACCTTTCCCTCGCCGGTGCTGAGCACGCTCCTCCGCCTTCTGATGAAGAATTCGCCGAGCTCGCGAGGACGATGAAGTTTGACGAGCTCCGAAAACAACTGCGGCGCATCGACTTGGAGGAATCAATTCTAAATTGCGATCGCGACATCGACGGCGGCGACGGCGACGAGGACAAGGACGAGGTTGACGAGACTACGCTACCACAGACGTCGCGTCCTCTCGAAAAAGAAAACGACAGAGAAGAGTTGGGGGGCGTCGACTTACCCTATCTCATCGCTTGTATTCTGCGCAACGCAGCGAAGCCTTTCCACGATGAGCAGTTGGTCACCAGATCCTGCGAGGTGCGTCGGCTCAAAATGATTCTGCTTGTGCGTGACTGATTCGTTCAAAGTCCCAAGGGAACCAATTCAAATGTCCAACGTGCGCCAAGTTACCTGGCGAGCTTCGTCGAGACAAGACGCGCGATAGGGCGTTCGGGGATAGAGGAAAGCTCAACCGACACATAAAGTGAGTGGTGGCTTTGTTTCTCTTTATCCGCCCTTTCCTAATGCGACGTGACGGTGCAGAGAGGTACACAGCAGATGGATGGACCTCGTCCTCGAGATGGTCACCGAGGATCCGAATATATTTGTGTGTCCTTCCGGCGATTTCAAGGCCCCTTCTGTCTCGGCCATCCGCGAGCATTGCTTGTCTGAAAAGTGCGTCGACCAAATCACTTATCTCGAGCTCGTCGAGGAGGCAGGAATCAAGCTCGAGGATATTTGTCCTTCCATCGGTCCTACATTCAAGCTAGACCATCGGGAATCCGAGTCAATTCACCTTTCTGGGGATAAGATAGACGATGAATTAGACGGCTACATCCCTCGATTTGGCTCTGCGGACAGCGAGATCTTCAAGGACATATCAGCGGCAGACGCCTTCTTCGAGGATATTCCGAACTTCGTTTATAGAGGCTCCGAAGCTGGACTCGTTGACACCACCAATGACGACGACATGGAAGCGTTTTGGGCCGCTCACCCCGATCGCTATAAGGTGATGACAATACAGGATCTGACGGATGGGTCTTGGTCGGCACAAGACATTCTCAATGAACTCGAACGGGTACGTTCTCATTCCCGCTGGATGAAATTTGGGTCTGATTTTTCTCGCAGACTGGTAAGCGTGCCTCCACGCTCGCTGTCCAGTGCATCGAAGAGTTGTGTTCAGCTCTGGCAGAGGTTAGAGGTTTTGCGTCCGAAGACCGAAGACAAGAAAAATAAATGTTTTGTCCCCTGAACGCACTTGGTCTGATGCTCGTCTTGAACAAATCACTACAAATCAATTCCTTGTACATTAGCTGGTGGATTTGAAAATTTACGTCGCCGCAGCGACTCTCTGGGAATCACAAGCACCATGCGGTTCTACTCTCAGCTGGATGTATGCGCTTCATCGCGATTTGCCGAGAGTGTGAGAAACCAAAGTCCGAACACCTCGATGCGCGACGCGACGCGTTGTCGTTGTCGACGCACATCTCTTCCTTTCCCTCCTCAACATGGACTTCAACGACGGTGGTCGTGCACTTCTACTCGCTCATTCATTCCTCCGTAGATACAGGATCGATGGAAATGCCCATAGAGCTATTTCGAAGTCAATCAAGAATCCTATGACGAAAATGATATGCAGGTCAGCGATCTGCTCTCGCATAGTACTGTTTTTCCAATAATCAACTTCACGCAGGTCGACCCGTGGCTGAATAGCTCCGATGGGGTAGAAATACAAGGCCATGGCATATTCTACGGCTACAATGTCCCAACTCAAGGGCAGTTCGTGCCCAATGACGCTGAAATGTACCACAACAACATCATCAGCTTCAACCACGACAGCTATTCGCACTCGCCGTACCTCGCTCCTCGCTCGCGTCAGGGAAGAGCCGTGGACTTCGACGGAGTTCCCGTAGGATGTGCAGAGCCAATGTTGCCCGGGGTGAACGCGCAGTTTTGCAACGTGGTTTCGCGTGAAGTGCGCAGGGCGCAAGGGATCAACAAGTTGCGTGGTCAAACAGATATCGTTTTTTGCTCGTCTCTGATCCATTTTCTGTAGTCGCGTTCCGTTCGCAGATAATGGCCTTCGTATGAATCAAGCCACCAACCGCCCTCCCATCGTGAACTCGAGTCGCGGAGAGGGTACACCCGTTAGCAATCGCAAGGTTCCCCCTGCCAGTCACTCTCCTCTCGCCGCCAAAGTGAGCTCCGGACGGAGCGCACATGCGAATAATGGATCGAGCATGACAAACAACACCGGACGCTCCCTTGTCATGCAGTCAAACACTACATCTCGGATGAACACCATGGGCAGAAAAGACGCAGGGAGCTCTGGGTATATAAGTTACCTTCACGATGAAATACTATCGTAATTCAATGCATTTACAGCGCTGTACCTAAGGATTCTCATCCGAGGATCGGTCAATCAGAAGCTGGGTTCGTAATTACTTATCCACTCATACTTCTTCATACTTACAGGCTTGATTAGGGTAACATCTGAAAACGACGATAGCCTGAGGGAGAGACGCATTCCAACAGTAGTCCTCGATGGCATCATGAAGTCTGCGATCGAACTTGCGATAAGAAAAGAAGAAAAAATGATCGAGGCCCTCACGGTGAGTAAGGAACGATACGAAGCGCAGATCAAGTTGAAAAAGATGTACATCGACGACCCTCGTACGTCGATCATAACCCGCTCGTGGTGATATACCTCACCGATCGCATTATATTCAGAAGCGCACCCCCCTCCTGCCCCCGCCGAAGTGTATTGTGGCTTGAAAGGGCCACGTCAGTCATCGGAAGAGCTTCAGGCGGCGGCGACCGTCGTCGGCGAGAAAGTAAAACTGAAGCGTGGACGCCCGAGAAAAGAGTCAGAGGTGGACAACACGAACACGGGCTCTGCAAAGAAAGGCAAAACGGCGAGAGCGCGGGCTTCCATTGACGTGGGCAGAAACTCGGGGGTCAACAATATCTCTGACAAGAACAACGGACAGTCCTCGCACTCGAAAAAGAAGATCAATCCCTCTACCGATACGGAGGTCGATGCTGTCAACTGAAGAAATATCTCAAGCACAAACAGCTACTTTCTCTGTGATGAACGAAACTATTGGCAACTAAATCCGATCTGACGAAGGGATTCTCGACGAAGAAACTGCTGTCAGCTGACAAGACACAATATCATTCCATCGAATCGACAGAAGATGCTTCGAAGTAACCGATGATCCCTTCCAAACGCTTACAAAACCGCCTGACTCAACTATGAAGAGACGTTTTCTTGCTGCTCGACGTCTACTTCCCAACCAATGACAGACCCGCTTTACTGTGTTTTCTTCTCTACGTCCGACCAAGTTCTTCGCAACGCACATATGCAACGATACAGTGCTCTCCCGCTTTAAGGTCACAAGTCCCGGGCTGCTTTCGAACGCATTCAACATATTCTCTCTGCGCAACTCGTATCGAGCTATCACACTCGCAACATTCAACTGTTATGTGTATAATCGCAACAATATGAAATTACATTCAAATGCTTCAATTTTTTTATCATGCAAGAGGAAGAGCACACGACTTACTGTAAAATATGTGATTGGAACTGCAAGCCACCAGAATAAATGACGACGAGATCGTCGAGCGTAAGGAAGAGGCAGGCTTCGGTCAAGAGTCCGATTTATAGAACTGTACAATGTCGAAGCAAAAAGACACAAAAGCAAAAAGAGATCTCCGGAGCGCGGGTCGAACGCGCGGCCTCAAGATTGCGAAAGATTTCCATTACAGTCTCGCGCTCTTCCAGCTGAGCTATCCAGAGCTGATTTTGTTGTTAAACATATTATATATGTACCGTAACAAAATAAGGTTCATAAGGCGTCGAAAGTTTTCAACCTCAAAATCGCGCTCGAACAGCTTGACCGGATACCACTAGCATCTCATCACAGTACTGGCAACTTCGACAGAAACGGCCTTCAACTTTCTTCATAGTTTAGCGGCAAACGATGTCCAAGATTTCCTTCTTCTGCAAACAAATTCCTTCAAGGTCGTGGATGAGGTCGCCGAAATCGCAGACGCGCTGTCACTCGTCAATTTCTCTTTCAAGTTCAAGACTCTTGATGCAAACCGCGACCTCCTCCATCAAGCGTCAAGGCGCGAAACGTGGTGATTGAAAAGAGAAAATGGGAGGAAAACTCGAAGTGAATTCGTCCATGTTTATGCTTGCAGCGGCCGGTTACCTGAATGTGCGTCCGACTATGTCGCAGCTCTCTTCCACCTGATTCGAAACATGCCGCTACTACTGATTACAGATTGCTTTTATGCTCTGACATCCTGGTTGATGGTTTTGCAATACGAAGCTCTAGAGAATATACCTTTGCAAGCATCACCGAGCCGAGTTCGCAAACTTGAAGCCTGCCCGTGAGCATGACACATAACACTTCTCACCAGGTACCCCTCGAGTACTCGCTCTTGCGATTCGATGCCTGGATCTGCTGAATCCGCCAATGCGTATAAGCGCGAAGCTGTCTGGAACAAACTTCAAATCGGAATTATCAAGAAAACCCTTGCTTCCGGGAGGATACTACGATGGATACTTTTCGTTTTCGCGGACCTGCGCATGAAAGATCATGCCACCTACGTCGCTCCTTATCCATATGGTGGAATCACTCTGGCCAGAGAACTCATCGCGATGACAAAATGCTCTTTCGTTACGGACCAAGCTCCAAAATCCAAGAAAGGATTCTATTCAGTCACGACGTCGCACATGCAAAATGTGGCTATCTTCAGGGATGGACTCGATAATATGCCGGTGAGGGATCCAAATCTCAACGCTCTCCAGGGTGGTGTAGCTTCGAGAATGAAGATAGTCGAAACCCATGGAGAGTGTCTCTCCGAAGCCCTTGAATCGCTCGTTGTCGAGGCCATGAAGACTCAAATCGACGAAAAGGACACGGCTTTCTCCGGAAACATCACCGAAGGACTTTCCTTTAGTATGTCCGAACTATGGTGGTTGCAGAAGCCAATACCGAGGGAACGCGTCTCTCTTTCCTTGACTGTCCCTTTGTCGAAAATCTGGTGGCAAATACTTTTGGACCTGAAGCTGGAACACGTTCAAGCCAGGAGAGCGATATTTTTAAGCCGAGAAAATTTTCCACAGGATAGCTTCCTGGATGTGATTGCTCTCTCTGAGCATGACAAAGAGCGCCTTTACGAGTTTGTTGCTACTCACGCGACTCCATTCCCAGCCTCCTCCTCCATGGATACTTGGCTAAACGATTGTACTTGCGCCGACAAGGGGGATTTGTTGTCCTATTTGTACGGAACTGGGAAGTTCAAGCACGGTGTCCGACAATAGGTATTTAGTTATACACGCAAACCATCTGATCTTATCTAACTCGTTGTATTATATGAACTCCCACCGATTCGAGGCACAGCAAATCTATTCAGGGCAGATCCCGATTGATACCGAGTGACGCTCTGACAATCGACCTTGTCTTCGCGAGCCAAAGCGCCTAATGGGTTGCCCTTTGCCCATCACGTCCTTCTCCTCGATTTGAAGGAAGGTGCGCCGATTTCCATTCCTTGGGTCTGAACCGCGATTGGGTCGGCGACGTAAGTTCTTCATAAACTCTTGGGTGCACCGTTTCGCTTATGCGGAACCAAACCCATCTTGCACACGGCCTCATGCTTGATCGATCTCCGATCATTTCTGCGTTGAAGCATGGATCCCGTATCTTTGTCGACGATGGGTCTCAAGGCCGTCGCGGAGGTCACGAAGGCGTTACTCGAGAAGGCCGAGCAGGTTGAACATCTTCGAAAGCGAGAATCGAAGTTCGCTCGTCAGTACAAGAAGTCCATCAACGACCTCGCCGCAGAGGCGGAGGATATTCAAGCGCGTATGAATGTCACCGTTCAGCAGGGGAATACGAGAGCTATTGCGAAGCTCTTAAGTAACGAGGAGGGGAGCACCGCATTGAAGAAGCTTGTCACCATGTTGGACACCACGAGAGGATTCCTGACGAAACAAGACGCAGCGGCGAACAAGATGATCGGTATTCTGAGAAGGAAGAAAAGAAACATGCTCACAGACGCACTTGGAGTTGACGACGAAGAGGTGGCATTCGACGGGGTGATGAAGGACGCGACTACGAGTCTTGAGACGCACCGAACAGATCTCAAGCGTCAATACGATCATTTCAACTCCCTTTACACTGTCTTCTTGACGGCTCCTTCACAAATTCTATCGCGCACCCCTTCTCCGGCTGGACGAATGGAAGAACGCCAGGAACGCAACCGTATCGTCCAGAACGACATTCAAATGAGATTCTACAAAAGTCCTTTTCAATTCACTCTCACGGACGCTGCAGCAGTCGACATTGCGAGGGAGGTAGACATCACAAGGGGTAGATCGAGCCGTTCAGATTCCTACGTCTCTATGATGGAGGAAATGGGTAGAAACTGGGTCGAAGATGGACTGCCAACTACGACGGAATTATCAGTCACCAACCTGGCAGAGATTCAGGCTTCTTTATTGGAAAGGTTGCTTTCGAGCATTCGATTCGAGCTCGCGGAATATAGCCTCAAATCGACCATCGGAGAGAGCGATGATGGCGTAACGAACGATTTACGTTGCGCGCACCTTGCGCTGATGCAGTCTACCATGCTGAGGGAAATCGAGCGGATTAGGACGAGACGATTCTCAGTTGCGTTCTGTGGGATGGTGAAAGCCGGGTAATTCGTATTAGCGACGTTAGACTCGTTGCTCCTCGCTGACATGGTTTTCAGAAAATCATTGTTTCTCAATGCGCTCGCTGGCCAGAATTTGCTTCCGTCTGACGGTCTGGTGCATGACTTCCTTTAAATGAATTCTGCAATTCATGTCGCTTGTAGATTTGCCAGCGACCGCTTGGCCCTGCCGTCTTTTGCACGTCAAAGGACTACGAGAACCGTGCTTGACGCTCGATCCCAAGTATTTCCGGAGTTGCATCAAAGAACTGCGTGCGAAAGGGTACGGGAATATGATGAAGAACTACAAGCCGCCGAGGGACAACGACGCCTACTCAGCGCTCTTCGATGACCCCAACGCGGCCGTTGTGTCCAAAGGCCTCACTTCAAACACGATCCGAGATGCCAACGAGAAGAGAGAAATATTCAAGAACTGGAACGATCTGCATACAAAGACGAAAGAGAACCTGTTGCGCTTCGAGCAACCGAATTTCACCTTACCGGATGAGGCGACGGGGAGAGAAGACGTTATTGATTTGGTGAGTGCAAGTTCGGTGCTCGTCCGCGAACCTGCTCTACTAATGAACCATTTATGACAGCTCGCCCTCGTCAACGATATTATCCGTCTTTGCGGTAGATTTAATATCAAGAAACCACACAACAAGCCCGACAAATGGCCCCTGCTCAAGGTCGAGTTCGAGTCTCTTCGGGACCACAATTTGGATAGTGATTTCGAGGTGAGCTTCGTCACTGATCCTCACGCGTTGTGCGCTGATGTAACGTTTCAGTTCATTGATCTCCCTGTATGTGTCAAGTTGTTCATGAGATGAATTAGATTTAACATCATGTGTAGGGAGTCGGCGAATCCGGAGGCGAGGTAGGTATAACTCTGGAAGGTGATTTCATTCCGCTGATATTGAAATCGCGTTCAAGTTCCACGAATTCCAAGATCTTGTTCGCGAGGTTGCGAAAGAGGTGAACGCCGTCGTACCTATCGTTTCGTTCAAAGAAATCCCGAAGGAAGACTGGCGACAGCAACTACCCGACATCGTTAAGGCTGGTCTGCAACGCCCACCAGACCTCGTGTTATGCACGCATTTGGATTATGTACGTCTCTGCTTTCTCCACTGCAGACGCTGCACATTTATTGAATACGAAACAAAGGCGAAGGATCGCGCATATGAGCTCGTTGGGAGCGTGGCGAAGACTTTCTGGCCAAAGATGCCGACCGACGATGGGCGAAATAAGGTCTTGTCGACCGCGACGCGGATGGGTATCAGTTCCCGTCTTCTTTTGAAAATGTCTGAACGACAGAAACCCAAGTTCAGAGACATTTGGGAAGAAGATTCGATACTTTACGACGTACGTTGATTTTCTATCTCGACTGTCGGAATCTGGCTCACCGGTAGACGTGAAGTGCGCATTGAAAGTACTTGGAGACTGGCAATCAGAGAAGACGTACAATGGCCTGAGTATCGACATCTGGAGGCAGACGCTCAAAGATCAGTTGGAGAAGAGCGGTTTACCGAAGTCTATTCTCCGCCTTGTCAAGGATATGGTGGTGACCTCTCATCTGCGAATTCTCGGGGACGAGAACACTGTGATGTGTAAACAACTCCGCAAGGCTATCGTGAACCAGCAGTAAGATGACAATTTATTATATATGGCGAACAAGAGCTGATTAGCTTCACAGTCGACTTCTCCTAGAAATGCAGCGCTCTCGCGAAGATCACGAGAAGGCATATACCGAATTCCAGGAGGTCAGCCAGAAGTATCAAGCCGTGCTTGACGAGTGGGAGGCCGAGCGAGCGAAGGGAAAGCTGAAGTCCAACGACAACCTCTTAAAGGGATTCAAACATACTCAATCTGAAAGCTCAAAGAAGGTCAATGAGCTCGTCGAGGCTAAAATAAAGGAATTTAGGGACTACGGGAAGGTAATGCGTATCATTATGATATCGAATGATTTTATTGATTCCCATTTCATTAGTTAAAGCTCACTCCCCCCGAAGATGGCGGAGGACCTCAGCTGACTTTTCCTCATCCGATTGATGCAGAGGAGTTCCTCAAGGAAGTCCAGTTGGGGGCTGTTGACGT